AAGCAACAGTTAAATTTCTTGTTCTGTATTGATTTAACCCGCCATTCTCTCCTTGTGCATATGCATGGAGGGAGCTCAGAGCAGAATTAATTGGGGAGGGGCTTAGGTCAGCATGGGGGGAGCACTCTCCCGAAAGTATAAAAGTGATGCACATACTACCAGGATTCCTTCCTACCAGGCTAAACACTCTGCCGACACCAGTTCATCTGATCACAGCAGTATGGCAACGCCACCAGTACCCCCCTCCCCTTCCTCCTCTTCACCCCATATTTTATGTCATAAGTTTGTCTCAGATCCAGCTAGCGCCGGCGCTGACCTCACTTAGGCCGGGGCCTCCACGCCGGTGTCGTAGGTGGCTGCCCCTAACCTACATGCAACGTCAAATTCCCCGCAAGATTGTCACTCATGCAACGTCAAATTCCCTGCAAGATTGTCACTGTCAAATCCCCAAGGTCACAGGTCACAAGGTCCAAATCACTCTGTCAATCCCCAATCCCCTCTCTGCGTTTTTGTTACGCAATCATTGAAGCTAGTGCTTGATTCCATGAAGCATAAACGGTTGACAGCAGCGGTTTTTGGTATCGAGCTTTTTCGCAAATCACTGCAACAATCCCCGATGCTAAATTAAAAATGCCGCCAATGGCTCCCCGCCGACGAAGAGAGACATGAAACGTTTTTTTCCTCCAAGACTTCCCCTCATGTGCAAAATGGACCCGTCCAGGCGATCACAACCTCAGCGGTTGAGCCGCACAGCCAATGAGCGAGGTCCCATAGCCTTAAAATGCAGGACAAATTAAAGACGCTTGCTGGCAAGGAGTAAAGACAAGTTTGTTGTAAGTTTAATCCGAATGTTTGAATCGCATGGGTTTCAGATTCAGAGTGGGCGATGAGCAATGCTTTCTGTTTGAGCCCTGGCTCCCACCATCCGATCATGATATTCCAGTTCAGCGGCGATATTTCGCGGCAGGAAGGTGAGGAGGCGGCGCTCTAACCGATTGAGTTGCTGGCCGGAGGGCAGATGGTCGAGCTAGGGCGGATTTTGCCCAACCCATCGCTAGCCTCCCGCGTCGAGTCTAAGTGAGGGAATTATGGTCACACTCTGATTAATATCGAGGTTTTTTCGCAAATCACTGCAATCAGAGAGAGGTCGTGATTTCCTCCATGAACTTTAATCTAAGGCAAGGCATGACTTGACTTAGACTCGACCCGGGAGGCTAGCGATGGGTTAGGCAAAATCCGCCCTAGCTCGACCATCTGCCCTCCGACCAGCAACTCAATCAGTTAGAGCGCCGCCTCCTCACCTTCCCGCCACGAAATTCCGCCGCTGAACTGGAATATCATGATCGGATGATGGGAGTCAGGGTTCACACAGAAAGCATTACTCATCCCCCACTCTGATTCCTGAAACCAAGGCGATTCAAACATTAGAATCAAACTCACAGCAAACTTGTCTTTACTTCTTGCCAGTAAGTGTCATTAATTTTTTCTGCATTGGGAAGCTATGGGACCTCGCTCATTGGCTGTGCAGCTTAACCACTGAAGTCGTGATCGCTTGGACAAATCCATTTTGCACATAAGGGGAAGTGTTGGAGGCAAAAAAGCCGTTTCACGTCTCTCTTCGTCGACGGGGAGTCATTAGCGGCACTTTCAATGTAGCATCGGGATTGTAAGACCCACAGCGTACCCTGCTTCTAACAACAATAAGCTCGCTCAATCCATGGTTTCAAATCAAGTACCCTTGAGTGTCGTGTGCCTTCGTAAATTTGTGATTATTGACATTTCGGGTAGACTAGATCACGCAGAGGTTCAGAAATGTCCGATTGGCAACATAACATCACCAAAGTTGTTTTTGAATGCCTGCAATGGAAGCCCGGGAGGGTACTCCAAGCCCAGTCGCGCCAACGCTCGCCGTTTTAATGTGTTCTTTGTTCATGACGATCACGATTTCACCCAGCATATCTATAACGGTTTGGTGTTATTCACCATTTGCAAGCAAGAATCTACCCGCCTTGTAGGAGCTTTACACGCATGCAACTCTGCGTGCAATATCTCGTATTCAACACACTCGTCACGGGCAACAATCACACGCATCGCTTCTTACAATGCCATCGCTGACTACGTGCCATTGCGACCAGATTGCAATGCCAACTACAAAGAAAAGATGACTGCAGTAATCGGACACACCTTGCCGTTCATTCCCGTCAGGGGCGCAGCCGGGGTTTGAGACGGGAGGGGCTGCCAGGATTTGCAACGGAGAAAGGTTATGACCCCTGCCCCAATCACGGCCGGTTTACCAAAGGATCGAGACGAGACATCAGTTCCACGGTCAGAATAATTGTTTCGACCATTTTCCCTCAGTGGAACAGAAACAAATCCCCTTGATCCGAGGCGCTAGAACCAGCATGCCCCATCTATAAGAACCGTGCACCTGCTCTGCATCTGCCTCCATCTGCCTGCAGTCGCGGGATGATGGTTTTGGTTTGTGAAATGATGAAGTGAAAAATAAATCATGGTGATGGTTTCGTGAAATGGTCTCTTCCAAGCGATCATGACGTCAATGGCTGGGCTCTGCCGCCTGTGAGTCAGGGATTGCCGTACTATGTCCTTTTGCCATGATTTATGACGTCCTTGTATTGCTATCTGTTCACCATCGAGTGCACTGTTTTCACAATACAATGTGTAAAACATACACGCACATGTGCGAAATTTTGCCAGGGCAAGATGGGCCAGCCTGGTGGAATGCTTCGGTATCAATCACTTTTGCATTAAGGGAGTGTTTGGCATTTGCATGAGGCTGGAACTAAAAAAATCCATCTTGAAGATATTTCGGTGCAATTTACCGCTCTAACCTTTTTGATACCTACGCCCCTCTAGTTTCTAAGCTATACGTTCGCGAAGATGCTCAGACTATATCGCGCAGACTATTTCAAGGTCATCCAGGCATCTATGACGTCATCATTCGCCATTTATATCCTTCTATTTCAATGATCATGCGGTGAACAGGGCCAAGGAAGATATCATTGTCCAGTCGTTCATGCCTGGCGTTCGTGAGGGCGGTTTCCATATATAACGGCCATCAATTGGCTCTCAGTCAATGTTGTGCGAGGCACGATGACGCAACCAAACAATGGCGTATTGACGGGCATGTTTACTAGATGTAGAGGTTGTGTTGTCTAGGGCAGTATTTTCCACTAAAATTATACGAATAGCTAAAGGTGAGGTTATTTATGATATCTGACGCTTGCATCCATATCGGCTTATGATGTAGTATCACGTTGGCTTTTATGCGTCTTATGTATTTCATTCGAGTTTGGGACTGCAATTGAGAGCCTGCTGTACATCGTGGCACCACGCAGATCAGCCGAAAGCGAAACATTCCAATATTGAAAAGTGTGAGACATGCTCTACGATATATGATTAAAAATGTATCGTCAGTTGACAAATTATCCATCCAAGTAACAGCACGCGCATCACAATTTCCCGTTCAGGTTGACTTCATGGCAAGCTCAAGACGTTGATCACCTTGTTGTCATGTTTGACTGAATAGGTCCAGGGTGATGCATGATCTAAGCAGCTTGTCTAAGTTTGAGATTCTTTCTTTGATGACGACAGTTTCTAGAACATGCAAACGGAGTTTGTTTGACATCAGTTGGCAACCTTAGAAAAAAATGTTTTCCATCTTTTGCATGAAGCAATCGCTGTCTCACTCTAAAACAACATGCTTTTTTAACGTCACAGATTAAAAAAAGGACCTATCTAGGTGTGTTCTCCTACCTATATGGGCATACGAAACAGAATAAGGTGAACCACCGTCTCCTTCCCATTGAAAAGAATATGCTGTCGAATCTTACATATGTGCTTATCAGCGGCACATGTAGAAGCTCCCAATGAACCCAAGATTTAAAATTTTAGTTGAAAACCCTGTTTAAAGGGAGTGTTCCACTTTGTATCAGGGTGGGGGTAAAATCAAATAGACACATTAAAGATCACTCAGTGTAGATCACGACCTGACCATTCTTAAGACTTAATCCCCTCTAGTTTCTGAGCTACACGCCCACGAATATATGCAGACTATTTCAGGGAGACTATTTCAAGGTCATCAAGGCCACCCAACCATCTACGACGCCATAAAAACGCCATTAAAATCATGCCATTCCATCAGTCATGCGAAAGTCAAAGCCAAGACATGTATAAATGTCTATTCGTTCATATCTGGCGTTCGAGAGCGCAATTTCCAGAAGTAACGACCGTCAACAGGCTCACCAAAGTACGGTGACGTAATCAAACAATGACGCATTAAGAAGCATACTTACCAACCGTTGAAGTTGTGTTGTCTAGAGTAGTCTTTTCCACTTCAAAGCATACCGATAGTTATAAGTAAACTTACTTCGTCATATCTAATACTTGTTTCAATATTTTCAAATGTGGAACACTCGCTTTAAGCGTACGGGAATATCTTGCATAGGCAAGAGGCATCGCTTTCCATATGACAACATTCATATGCATGTGCCGGTACAAATGCCGTTGGCATTAGCCCCCAGATGCCTTCCATTCATAAAAAAGTGCTAAGCCTTGCAAGCCTTCAATCTGCAAGCGTTGCTGCATGCCTGTAAGCATACAGGCGACGTCATCTCAAAACATCTCCCCGGTCTTTAGAAACTGCCCATATTAAACCCCATGTCTGTCCTCAGCAAAACCGTCCTCCCTTCCTCTTGACGTGCGCGCTCGCTGTGAACGGTCCGGTAGCGCACACGCATCGCGCGGCCGCAGCGGTGGGGGCGCCGTGACGTTTTTCGTTTCGCGCCGCGGTCCCGGGTGCGGCGTCGCGCCGCGTGCACCCCCGTCCGGCCGCGATCTCGCGCGCTCGCGCGCGGACCGGCGCGGGTTGTCCGCGAGGCGCGCGGCCGGGGCAGCCGTACTTGAAACGGCGGCCGCCGGCGGCGCGGCCGGCGGCCAGCCCGCCAAGGGCAGCCCGCGCCGCCGGCCCCTATTGATTTGAACGCGGCGCCGCGCGGAGCGCACCGCTGAGTCGACGGTCCTCTCGCGGGAGCCTTGCGAAGCCTTGTGAAGCGCTGTGCGGACGTGCGCGGGGTGCGTTGTGCTGCGACAGGTGCGCGAGGACGGTGAGGAGCTGAGCTTGGGGACGCTGCGGACGCCGACGCAGGTGAGCACGGCGGCACAGGCCTTTTGAAATCGGCCTGTTGCGCCGAGCGCGCCACGGAAGGTCGGCGCGTCGACACGCTGGGGTTTGCGCACGTGAGCGACGTGCCTGCACCGAGGTGGCGCATCTTCGGAGGCTCGCGCGCCGACCCGTGCGACACGTGCCAGTCGTGCGCGAGCTGGCGCCGGCTAGGCTCCAATGTGCTGATGCTGTCTGGCGCATGCGGCCACTGATTGCGCCATCTGCCGCGACAGAGGAGTGTGCGCATACTTTGCGCTCTAAACTTCCGCGAGTGTCGAACTTGCCATTTCCTTTTGAATGCTACCCGTTTTGTTCACATCAGACGTTGAGCATAAAAGTTTGACTTCAGCCACATCTGTCGCCGAAGCCGTGAGCGCCTTTCAGGGAAACCCCGCCAGAGACGCGCTGGCGGCTGGCACACTCGGGCGTGGCAGGTACGCCGGATGATCTCCTGATAACTGGACATTGACTGGATAAATATTTTTGCCCTTCTCTTCCCACACTGACCCAATACGGGACACGCAGCGGATTGATGCGGCCTGATGTGGATGGCCGCATGCGTCGTGTGTCTCCGTCTGACAGCTCTAAATGGCTTAACACGCAGGGCAGTGACCTTTAACAAGATGCCTGTCGGCGGGATAGGAGTGTTGAGCGTATCGTGTTTCGTGAAATGGCGCATTGTCGCCGTATTTGGCGAGACCGACCGAGGATACTCTTCCTTCCGAGTGTGTCAGGAAAAGTGAACGGAAGTACGCCGTACGAGCCCACTGAATCGGAAAATGACGTCTGCCTAGCGAGTCTGAAGGTCCACCGAGCGGACTCGAAGGTTCGACGAGTGGGTGCATAGGCCCGAAGGTCCGCCGAACGGCTACGAAGATACACCGAGCGGGGCCGAAGGTTCATCAAGCGGGTCTTAAAAGTCCACCGAACGGGTTCGAAGGTCCACCGGGCGGGTCCGAAGGTTCGCCGAGCGGGTCCGAGGTCCAGAGGTACGCCGAGTGGGTCCATTGGTCCGCCAAGCGGGTCCAAAGGTCTACCGAGCGGGTCCAAAAGTCCGCCAAGCGGGTCCAAAGGTCCACCGAGCGGGTCGAAAGGTCCACCGAGCTGGACGGAGGGTCCGCCAAGCGGGTCCGAAGTCCAAAGGTCCACCGAGTGGGCCCGAAGGTCCACCGAGCGGGTCGAATGGTCCGCCGAGCTGGTCCGAAGGTCAGCCCAACAGGATGGTGACTGCGACACCCTTGCTGCCGTGTTGTATGGGTACCAAACCACACTGCCTCGTATCGCGTGGTAAAATGGTCACGTTTGAGGCAGCTTACCGGGCTGTTTTAATTTCCGCCATGATGTTCCCTTTGCCCGTGGCGTCGCAGATGAGGCTAATGTCTGAGTTAAGGGCAGTATAAGACGATGCTGGGCTCTGAGTTCAGGGCAGTATTAGGCAATACTGGGCTCTGAGTTCAGGGCTATGCTAGACGAGGCTAGGCTGCTCTGAGTTCAGGGCAGTATCAGGCGATGCTGGGCTCTGAGTTCAGGGCAGTATTAGGCAATGCTGGGCTCTGAGTTCAGGGCAGTGCCAGACGAGGCTAGGCTGCTTTGAGTTCAGGGCAGTATAAGGCAATGCTGGGCTCTGAGTTCAGGGCGGCATCAGACGATGCTGGGCTCTGAGTTAGGGCAGCATCAGCAACATGCATGGCTGGCTAGAGCCTGAAACATCTGTACAGATCCTTGGGCGTTGGGCAAGAGCCCACACATTACAGGGAGAGAGCATGCTGAAAGCACGAGGTAGAGCACAAAATGTCAGGGTATAAGGCAAAACCATGGAAGAAGATATAAAGGATGTGCTGATCGTCTTGCAACTGTGAGGTCATCAAATATATTCTGTTCCTTTCTGTTGATATGTCCGATTGGGTAGTGCATCGGTCCCCCACGTAGGGAGCCCGGGCTCGAATCACGGTTGCACCATGGCTCCTCAGCGCTGATGTGGCCAATCCAGTCACCAGAGCTTCATAAGAGACGTGGCGATGTGCGTCGCGTTCCCTTAAAAAGTTATGGCTACTTTGATAAGCCTGACGACAAGTCATGGGCTTTACTCCTGCTTATCCTGCTTTAGATCAGTTCATAATTGACACAAATAAGGTCCTTTTCTGATCATGCACGCCTAAAAAGAGCTACAAACTACCATAATTGACCCCCTATGCATACTCAAATTGTGAGGTTTGGTATGTGTGGCCGAACTCAAACCAGAATAGTTTTAAACTTTTTTTGAAGTCACTCAGACCTTGAAGGGAAGTTTCCACATTTGAAGACATTGAGGCAAGCATGATATGGGATGAAATAAGCTCACTTGTATCTATTGGTATACCTTTAAGTGGAGGATATTTCTCAGTCAATGCATGTTCTCTGTTCTGTAAAGATAATCCTCAATGCGTCATTGTTTGATGACGTCATCGCACCTTGCATAACATTGATCGACAGCCATTTGACGGCCGTTCTTTCTTAAAGTCGTGCTTACAAACGCCAGATATGAACGTCTTGACAATTATCCTTTTTGGCTTTTAATCACCGCGTGGCCAGTGGAATGGCAGGATTTGAATGACGTTATTATGCTGTCATGGATGCCTGAGTGACCTTGAAATAGTTGTCCCGAAATAGTCTGCACACCCTCGCTGCCGTGTAGCTCACAACCTAGAGGGGTTTAGGCCCTAAGAAGGGTAGCACTGTGAACTGCATCAAATGACCCAAGTGATCGAAACCGCATACAAATGTAGGACACTCCCTTTAGTCTTCCACTTTTAAGTGACAAACATGGGCATATCTACTTTTCAAATAATCGTGGAAGAATTAGTTTTATCCTTTAAAGACAACCAGGGCTACATTTTGAGCTTACTATACTTAAATTCTTGTGATCTGTTGGTTGATCTGATGAGGTTTAATTGTCGACCTCTACGCTGTTTATATTATTTGCTACCAGCACCCTTGCAGCAACACTGCCGTTGGTTTCTAACTAATCCATCTGAAAGGGACGGGTTTGCACCTGTGCGCCGTCGTGCCTCCGATCGGCTCGGCGTGCCTTGGGGGACAGCGAAGCGGGATCGGCGGTCGGAGGAGCGGGCCGTCGCGCCGTCTGGCGGGCCGGCCGGCGCTCGGAGCCACCGCGGCCGCCGCGGCCGGGGCCGCTAATGCGCGCCTCTACACTCCCGTCACGGAGAGCTGGCCGCCCCACCGGCGCCGGCCGCCGCCTCCAGACGTCGTGTCTGTTCTCGTCCCGGCCCGGTGCGCCCCGCGGTCCAGCCGGTCACGTGACGTCCAGCGGAGGGACGGACAGATAGCCGCCGGCCCTGGTGCTCCCAGCGTCGGAGCCGGGAGCCGGGAGCCGGGAGCCGGTAGCGGGAAGCCGGTGGTCACCCCGACTGCGCGCCGTCACGCGGTGACCGTACGGGTTACAGAGCGGGGCCCGACCCGGGCGAACCTGGTGCGACTGGCACAGCGGTCACCGAACGTCGCGGTACAGTGTCGTAAACCGAGAAGACAGATCCATGTACCTAAATGTCGCCGCTTTGGAGCACAGGCTGTAAACAATACACATTTGGTTCAGCTTTCAGCTTAGAATTATTTATAGCCGGGACGTGTCGGTGAAGCTTTGCGTTTTCGATGCGTATCGTGTGTGCTCATGCGGCGTGAGTTAAAAGTTGCGGCCGGGGGTGTCTTGTTTATTCTGTGGACCGACGCTGCAGCTGAATCCCGGGGATGACTGCCATTAGGCGGCTCAGCTGCACAACAAAAGGAAGAGAGCAAAGTTGGACTTTTAAAACAGGTATTTAGAGGGCAGCGCCTATTTTCCACACCAAAAATATGACGTCAGTGATAGTGGTAAAGAATATGTCGCGCGTCAGTCGCATCATAAGATCGTGAGACAAAAAAAAAAATCCGACACTTGTAGTCCTGTCGGGAAAATTATCTGGAAAATTATCTGGAAAATTGTCTGGGAGGTAAGTTATCCTTTGAGCAGGAAACACATGACGGGTGTCAGTCTTAGGCTTGCACGCCACAAGTTTGTCTGGGCTTGCCCTGACGTCATATCAAGGAGTCCGTGAATTTAGTAGTATTTGAAACTTCCGACTTCCTTAAATCAGTTCCAGAGCTTCTTCATGAGGCACGTAACTGCCACGGTCGTTAGTCTTTCGCGATACTTTAAGCGGAGGGTGGCGAAACACCAGTGCGATGGCATGGCTCTGATGAACGACTCGGTACACGGGCCTGGGTGACCGCCGTACCAAATGACGTACGCTTCCCTACTCTTTTCCCGTTGTTATTATCATTTCGAGTAGTCACCAACCTAGTCCAGACACTGATTTCCGGATTGGTCATCCAGCAGGGCCGGGTACGAATCCCAGACGAACACATTGTTGAACTGCCGGAATAGATAAGGCGCTGAAGAACCCGAAGTGTTGAATGTTTCGTTGAAGCCCAATAACAACAACGGCTACCGAAATGGAAGGTTAGCTGGCAAATCTGCTCGTAGTTAATCAGCTTGATGCGTGGAAGCCAGTCGTAGCATTGCGCGGTGCTTCGCTGAAAAACATCTTTTCGCACTCTGCTGTCCTTTCAAGGGAAAAGGGAAGAAGTCAAGCAAATACCCATTGAACTGGAGTGCTACTTAATAATCAGACACAACGTCAGCGAGTCGTTATGATCAGACACAACGTCATCGGGTCGTTATGATTGGACAACGTCAGCGGAGCGTTATGATCGGACAACGTCAGCGGGTCGTTATGATCAGACACGACGTCAGCGGGTCGCTATGCTCAGACAGCGTCAACGGAGCGTTTCCATCATCGCTGACATCAGCGTTAACTGCAAAACCAAAGAAAGCCCGCAGGTAAGGCAGTCGGGGCAGCTAGACGGGTCCCAATAGCAGGCGTTTGGGCGCGACGCTCGTGTAAGCGGCGTGGAATGCGAATGCACTGCCGTGTCAATGGCATGGC